CTGTCTTGCTTGTCCACTTACTTTCCGCTATTCTACGACTTAATTATCATCAACACCGCTGGTAAACGAGTAAGACTACTATCCACGATCCACATTTCACACTATTATCTAGCTGCGATAAAAGGATCGTGTCTTTTATTCAAGTACTCAAACTCACTCGACGTTCCGTAAAAAATAACAGTGATAAATGATAAAGCCCCATAGGAGAATTTTGTTTAATCGTATTTGCAAGTAGAAGATACGCCTTCAGCGAGACAAAGAATTATAGCACTAAGATCGTATCATCATCATTCAAGTGTTTACAATGCCATATATTTTTCTCAGTAGTCGTAAACGTCAAATGAGTAGTGACGTAGGATTATTTGGTAAATATGAAAAATCAATAACATATATATATTTTTTTATTTATCAAATAATCACATTATTTCTTTTTTTAAATAAAAAATGATACATTGAAATAATCCCTCATTGTATATACAGATTATCGCATTTGTAATTGAAAAACATTTGCTAAAATGAGAAACAACTAAAATATTGGAGGTATAACTGGTGTGTTAAAATAATTTTATTCTGTATTATAATATATATATATATATATATATGTTTGTATATGTATACAAATATATGTATATGTAATTAAAATTTAATATATATGTTTAATAATATTTTACACACACACATACACACGCATGTATATTATCTATATATGCATATATTTCTAAACAACGGAAAATAAATGCGCTTTATCATTTTTTATCATTATTATATGAAAATGAGAAACAATTTTTTTTTGTCATTTCTCTTTCTTCCTCTCTCGCCATATTATTGCAAGCAATATCGGATTTATAAATTATCGCTACCAGACAGTAGATGAACTATGGATCAAAGTCTGGAATGGATTCTATTGAGGTACATTGATAAATCGATGCCAATATAAGGCAATAAATCACGCTTTAAATGTTTAAGTAATTTGAAATTCCGAATATTTCAAAATTGCAATGTTAATATCATATACAATAAAACGTAATAAAAATAATAGATTCTTACAAGATTTTTAAAAAGTGCATTCTTTTAAAAAAAAAATATGTGAAATAATATATTCTTAAATTAATTTTTATTTAATTTATATTGAACTTATTGTATGATATGTTAATATCATACAACTATATCTATACATGTATCTTAATTTGTATGTTCAGTTGTACTTAAATGTCTTATTTTTAATGTTGTTACGGTTTCTAAAATCTTTAGCAGTATTTTGTAATATTGCTGAAAGTTTTAGACTTCCTCGAGAATATATATTCCAGTCTCATGTCAAATTATAAACTTGCGAATGACGAAATCACGCATACAGATACAAACGCGCTCTTACACGCCTTGACGTATCTGGAGGCTCGCCTGTGTGGCCTATGATACGTTTATCGACGAGATTGCATAAGAGCTGTATCGTTGGCATGATGTATGCATTGATATCAATTTCATAAGAAAAGAGAGTCCAAATTCTAATGATAGTGTTCTATTATCATAATTTGATATTTTTATATTTTTTACCTTTTAATTTTCCGTATCTTCTTCCTCCAATCCTCGTAGAGGATTGGAGGATCTTCATTTCCTTTTCTTTTCTGTCTTTGTTTCGGTTTTTCTTTCGATTGTTTTGGCGTAAAATCTTTTTGTTCTCTTTCTCGTTTGATCGTTTCTTCCCCTTTTCCTCTTTCTCTGAAGATAAAGACCAAGTGCGATAATTTGATACAGTGAGGGATTATTTTAATATATCATTTAATTTAAAAAAAGAAATAATGTGTATGTGTGATTATTTGATAAACAAAAATACATACATTTTATTGATTTTTCATATTTACTAAATAATCCTACGTCACTTCTCATTTGACGTTTATGACTATCGAGAAAAATATATGGCATTGTAATTTGTTCATATATTGCGTACATAATGCAATGTATTTGATCGAAAAGTGTTTGAAATGTATAGTATAAACGTTAACTGTAGCGCTTACTAGTTGCTTAATGTATTTACGATGAAAGAACCCCCTGCGACGAGTTGAGCAATTGTTTGCGAAACATTATCGTGGTCTTTAACCTCGACACTGCACAATTAAAAGAGGAAATCTTCAGAGCTGAGTATTGAGTATTTCAGAATCGAGCATTACGAAATATCCATATCAAACGTAAGAGACTATGAGAGAAAAATCGTCACGTCTATTACATTTCACAAGTTGAGAAAGCGGGCGTGATCAACTTGTTTTTCTTTTGCATAATCTTTGGAATATTATAGCCGCATTACATTATATATACACAATTTAATTATATTAATAATAAATTATTTTAAAATAAGAATATATATGGGAGATTTTTCTTGTATAAAAGAGCTCAAATCGAGAAGAAAGGAAGACGTAGCAAATTTGATTTATTAAATCATTATTCATCTCATTTTTCACATCGATAATACACATATTGATGTGTGCGTACATGCACATATTGTGTACTGGATGTCGGGAATAATAAGCTTTATGTTTCTTATATAAATGTAATGAGCAATTTCCAAGCTAATGAAGAGGAAACGACAGTTGCATCTTTTTCATTCGCATTTTTGCAATAATTTTATGTTTGTATATGTATATGTATTTATGAATTGTAAATAAAGGAATTGTAGATCAATATTGATAGAAAAAAAAATCGTAGATAAAAAATTATAACAGATTTTAATATAATATATTAATAATAATAATAATAATAAAATATTGATTAATGCAATTCAATACAGTAAAATAAGAGGACATCTGATAAATTTGTTAACTTTCTGTTCTCTTTTCATATTATTATTGCATATTGTTGTCGTGCCACTAGGAAAATAGTTCACCATGACGCGGAACATAGTATGACTTTTGCATACATATATACGTAATGATAAAATGTAAATAGAAATAATTGGAATGCTGCAATTTGTTTTTTGAGAGAAGATTAAGTTTTTATAAAGAAGAAAAAGTTTTTATAAAGTACTATTTAACTCCATAATACTATTAAATAAAGTACTATTTAACTTGATAACATTATGAAAAAATGAAAACATTAAGATATATGTATATTATAAACCGACATGTAGAAAAATATATACAAATTGTCCTCCAATATTAGAACGCTCTTTATCAAGCTTTTCTGCCCAATGAAGTGACATTATCTCGATACAAATGATAAAAATGCATTTTTTTCCAATTAATTCTTTGCGCTCCATATATTTTTACGCAATATTGACAGTTCATTACTTTGCGTGCTATAATTATATATATCAATTTATGTGCAGATTTATAATGTATTATACATAATGCGCCTTATACTTATTTATATGTATTAAGAACGATACAATATTTCACTTTAGTATAATTTTATTGCCAGTTGAGTTGGCATGTGATGTAAAAAACGGCAAGATTTTTAAAGCCAATCATATAACTTAAAACACAAAAGGTTAATTAAATCACAGTGTCATTAAAATCTTTATAAAACGTACTTTTATTTTCTTTCTTAAAACATGCAGGATTTATTTAGAGAGAAAGATAAAGGAAAACTTCCTCTCTTCAATAGGTTAATTACTTGTTCAGTTTAAGCATTTTAATATTTGCAAAACATAAAATAATCGATTTCAAGGCAAATGTAAAATGAGAATCCAATAGGAAATAGAAAATATTAGAATGCTGTATTTATTTATTATTGTATTGTTTGTGGCATGTATAGGAACGAAAGATTCTTATAAAATAAAATAAAAAATGTTTAATATAGTTTTGTTTCAACTGTTGGTATGCTTTCTGAGAAAATAAGTTTACAATTGTAATTTTTGGAAACAGGTATATTTGAGTATATATTAATTCTCCATTGCTTATTGATCATATACGACCTTAGCAGTTTATCATAATATCATTGTATTTATTAGCATGCTGACATCCTATTAGTATTTCGTGGTTTCTCGGAACGTTAAGATCGTAATTTGGCATACATATTCTTGGTATTAACGATCTATGGTGATATATTAATAATTTAACTAATTATTGTAGAGGATTACATTTTTATTGGCATACAACTTAAATTTATATGGTAAGTCATTAACAATACCTTTTTTACGACCTGCAAAAACGTACAAAATTATGTACGAACGATTTTATTTTCGATGAAAGACATACTTATCAACTATCGAAATTGTTGATGCATCATTAAAGCATAAATTTTATATTTCTATTCTTCCAATGTTATATTCAAAACCGACAAAAATTATTTTAGCAATAATAGCATATATTTTATCATTTTAACATCATAAGCTAGATTAAAATTTTTTATTACGTACTTATAGTACGAAAGCAGGTATATAATAAATGCGAAATTTCATATTGTATGCACAGTTAGTGATTTGTTTATCTAACTGTGTGTGTGAAATTTGATTATAAAAAGTAATAAACAGAACAACTTGTTAATAAATATATGCCGAATTGTCATCAGTGATAACATCAGTGATAATTGACATTTCTTTCTTGAGAGAAAACATATCATATCTTTATAAATCGTTGCCTGAATCTAAATTTCTAAGTTCGGAGTATTAAGAAATTAATAAAGTTAATTTTTGATTAACAGCTTTAATTTTAAAAAATGAGCATTACAATGAAGTAACAGTTCCTTAGCACACATACATTTATGCTACTTTCACATCCAAAAACAATTTTCTAGAAAATTATTAAAAATTTATATACTTTTACTTTTTCCGTCATTTTCATTTAAATTTTTATAAATTAACAATAACTATTTTAAAGAATAATAAAAAGTATAATAAAAAGCTATATCCAATATTTTCCTATATAAATAGAGTACACCTATGAGAACAAAAATTCCTATAATTTTAATACATTCTCTTATTAAAAGACATTATATGAATTTAGTTTATATTTGTCGTTTTTCTAACAAAAAGTCATTACTTTGCAGAAATATTTAAAACAAAAACAATCATGAAATTTCTAAAGGCGTTATGTTTAGTAACTCTTATCATAATAAGTTATGATTTTATAAATAAAATATATGGCTCGAAAAACAAGAAAAACGAATTCCGTTCTGAAGTTGAACAAATTGGCCGTTTACCAACATATATAGTACCCACGAATTATAACATCAAGTTGATACCAAACTTCGGAAAGAACTATACTGCTTATACGTTAGAAGGCGAAACCAGTACCAGGATCCGTATTTATAACAAAACGCAATATATACAATTACACCAATATTTTTTGTTTATATTTAATACGCCTATATTGATTAACGAGAATAACGGCAAGAGCTATGAAATATTATGGGAACAACATATGTATAATTCTACAACGCATATATTAACATTTTACCTCGCGGAGGCTCTCTCGCCTGGGTTTTATATTCTGAATATGAAATTCTACGGTATGCCGGTTCATCCCAAGGAAAATGTTTTAACATTTGCACTTACAAAAAGAATACGAGGTGTAATGTGAGTAAATATTAAGAGATTAAAAACGCACCACATATTATATATTGACAAATGTACATTTACCAGCTCTTAATATTTCTTAATTAATTACACAGGCCTGCGAAAATGAGACTTTGGAAAATCCACTGAGATGTAGAAGTGGTTTCCGACTTTAAATTCGTAACTTTAAATCTGTGGCAAGATTCGGATTCAGCGCAAAAAATTATGTCAACAAGCACCCTCACATCTCAGTGGACCAAATCTCGCAGCACTGTGTTACTGAAGATTCTCCATTATCTTTCATTAAAATTGCAGGTGGTTAAACGCAGTGCATTTTCAACCTATTAGGGGCCGACGATTATTTCCATGTTGGGATGAACCAGCATTTAAAACCACTTTTAAGATTTCTATACAGCATCACAAAGATTACATGGCTTTATCGAATATGCCGATTCAAAACTTAGAGCTTGCGGATAATAGTATGGTTTGGACACATTTTCACCCTACTCCGTTAATGTCAACATATCATGTGGCAGTTGTGCTGACCAATTTTCCCTTTCATCGTATTAACGCAAATACCATCGAACATCAATTTAAATGGTGCAGAACATATTCCGCACAATATACAAAATTTGCGGAGAATATATTTGAAATTGTTACATCACATTTAGGATTCAGGTTCAATAAAAAAATCGCAAAATTAGATCACGTTATTCTTCCAGAATCCAAAAGTATGTGGAATTGGTATTTGCGAGATGGCATGTCGCAATGGGGACTTATTTTTTATAGGTAATATATATACATTATTAAGACAGAAAGAGAGAAGAGAAGATATTAATGTGTTAATATTTTTATCCTTATATTGGTTTAAAGGAAAAAAGTATGAACATGCAACATTAACATTTAAAATTCATTAAAAAATATTTTTATATTTATATTGTTTCTCATGTTTACCTAATCTAACGAATAAAAGTAAAGCGTTACTTGTAACACCGTTACCGTCATAAATTACTTTTTTGATAACTAGTACTTTTTTTTTAACACCAGCCTAGTTACATCTTTTTCATAATGGTAATGAATTTTAAATGAAGTTATATTTATCATTATTTTCATTATATTAAGCATATTTATACATACGTAATTTTTATAATTATATTCAGTATTAAGAATCTTTATTTTAGACCGCATACGTGAGAAACACAATCAATATTAGAAATTTAAAATGCTTATTACGGTCGAAGCTCAATCTTCATTGCTTTAAATAATTAAATCTTGAATTACTAATATACACTATATATATGCTTGTATGTATACTATATTGTAGTCTTTTCAAACTGCGCGTCGAATTGTTTTTTCGGACTATAAATAATGAGACTTTGGAAAATCTATTGAGATGTAGACGCAATTAAAACTACTCTAGTAACCATGAATTAAATTGACAAGCAATTTAATAATTTAATGCTATCATCAAACATTATATTATAAAGATGTTAATATTCTATGATATATATAAAAATATGTTAATATGTTGAAACTGTTAATAAATTTATTGCGAAAAATATTACCGCAGTGGTCTAATGGCTT